CGCTGTGCTGATCTGAAGCCAGAGCCAGGTGCTCCTCTGGTCTCCCATGTGGGTGCAGGGCCCAAGCACTTGGGCCATCCTCCACTGCACTCCCGGGCCACAGCAGAGAGCTGGACTGGAAGAGGAGCAACCGGGACAGAATCCGGCACCCCGACCAGGACTAGAACCCAGGGTGCTGGCGCCGCAGGCAGAGGATTAGCCTAGTGAGCCGTGGCACCGGCCATAAACTTATCTTTTTTAAAAAAACTATTCATTTGACAGGCAGAGGGACAAAGTGAGATAGAGGCAAAGGGGGAGGGGAGGAGAGAGAGAGCAAGCGAGCATTCCCAGCCACTTGTTCACTCTCAAATGCCAGTAACGGCTAGGGCTGGGCTGGTGCCAAAAACTGAAGAGAGGAATGCCATTCAGATTTCCCACATGAGTAGCCATCATTATTGTGTCCTAGACTCTGCATTGGTAGGAAACTAGGGGCAGGAGATAGAGCCAGGAATTGAACCCAGGTACTCCATTGTGGGAAATGGGTGATTTAACTTCTAGGCAAAATGCTTACTTATTAAACTTAATCTATTAATTTCATTTTTCATAAAACTTTTGAAAATACCATTGTGTACTCCATATATACACACCCTGTACACATACACACATACAAGCTATAGTATAGAAATGTATAAGTGAAGTGTTAAGCAGATTATGATGTTTCTTTGCATGGTTTTCTTTGGGTTAGTTCTGTATGGGGTTTGCTTAGCTTCTTTAATCTGTATTGATTTATGATTTTAACGAATTTTTGCATTTTTTAGCTAAAAGTTTTTGTACTCTTATTAGCCTTAATTTCTTTCTCCTCTTCTTCTTGAACTCTGATGGTATAAAAGTTAAATCTTTTGTTACTGTCCCACAGCCCCCTGAGGTCCTGTGCATTGTTTTCTAGCTATTTTTCTCTTTGTTGTTCAGGCAAGGTACATTTTATTGATCTGATTCTATCCTCTGTCATTTCCAATCTTCTAATGAGCCCATACAGTGAGATTATCTATGCTACTGAATTTTTCAGTTAGGTAATGTATATAACAGGTTATTTTAAAAATTGTATCCTGGATATTTTGGCTATTATAGTCCTATAACTGGAGTTTATGTCCTATTTAAGTATTTTATTTAATAGAGAGATTCCTTGTGTAAGCATCACACAAAGGTTCTGGCCTAATTTTGTAGGCTGAGGGTTCAACTTTAGAGATAGTTTGGTGCTCTTTTTCTGTTCCGGCTTTATTTGGTACATCTGGGACGACCACTGGTGTCTGCTGGTGCAGCCTCAGGAAGCAGAAGAGGCTTCCCTTGGCCAGGCCTTCAGCTCTCTGTGTATGGTGGGCGAAATCTCAGGATCATGGTGTGAAAGGTCTTTCCTGGCTAAGTACTTATTGTAGCAGGATTGCCCCTACCTTTAAGGGACAGAGCTGCTTCTTGCCGGATGACTGTTGAAGCAGAATGCTTCTTGTTGTTGCCCTCGCCCACTCTGTCTAGTCCTGGTGTTTGTGGCAGGAGAGGAGAGTTTCAAGCCTCCAGAATGAGAGGCCCAGGATAGTATGATGGGGTCCCTACTTCAGAAGCCACCCGACTGTCCCAGTATCTCTCTTTTGAGAAGGAGAATGTCAGGGAGCAGGGAAAAGTGAGCTAAGTGGAGTGCTTTCCTGTTAGTCAAATTCCTATAATGCATCTTCCTTGTAAGTGGTGTTTTTTTTTTTTTTTTTGGCGGGGGGAAGACTTTTTTTTTAAGATTTTATTTATTTATTTTGAAAGGCAGAGTTACAGAGAGAGGGAGAGAAATAGAGAGAGGTCTTCCATCCGCTGGTTCACTCTACAGATGGGTGAATGGCTGGAGCTTGGCTGATCTAAAGACAGTAGCCAGGAGCTTCTTCCGGGTCTCCCAGGTGGTGCAGGTTCTACTGCTTTCCCAGGCTGTAGCAGAGAGCTGGATAGGAAAAGGAGCTGGGATTTGAACCCGAGCCTATATGGGATGCTGGTGCTGCAGGCAGAGGATAAGGCCACTTTGCCACAGCGCAGGCCCTTAAACTACGCCCTTTTTTTTTTTTTTAATGGAACAGGAACAAATCTACCAGCTGTCTGGTTTTGGGGTGCGGTCAGGATCAGGAAATACATGCTTGGGTTGCCTTCTTCAGTTGAGTGCACTTACAGCATTGTTGCTGTGTTGTTCCTGCTGACCTGGTACAGTAAGATAATTCTATGTGTGTTTACATTGCGTAATGATGAAATTGGAGTTAATAGCATATCCAACACTTTAAACATTTGTTATTTATTTGTAGTTTTTGAGTAGTTCTTTTTTCTAACATATGAGTTTAAGGTAAACATTTTCCTTTATGTATTTAGTTGCATTCCAAAAGCTTTAATATGTCTCATTTTTCTAATCAATTCAAAATATTTTCTAATTTCTACTGGAATTTTCTTTTTATTCATTAATTTATTATTATTTTTTTGACAGGCAGAGTTAGACAGTGAGAGAGAGAGACAGAGAGAAAGGTCTTCTTTCTGTTGGTTCACCCCCCCACCCCCCAAATGGCTGCTATGGCCTGCGCGCTGCACCAATCCGAAGCCAGGAGCCAGGTGCTTCCTCCTGGTCTCCCATGTGGATGCAGGGCCCAAGCACTTGGGCCATCCTCCACTGCCTTCCCGGACCTCAGCAAAGAGCCAGACTGGAAGAGGAGCAACAGGGACAGAATCCGGCACCCCAACCAGGACTAGAACCCGGGGTGCTGGTGCCGTGGGCAGAGGATTAGCCAAGTGAGCACTGGCCTTCCATTAATTTCTTATGTGCATATTGCTTACTCTAAAATATATAAAAAGTTTCTAGATTTCCTATTATTTTTGAATTTCACTGTGGCCAAAGAATATTCTTTGAATAGGTCTATGTTTTGAAATCTTTGCAGCTTTATGTTTTTAAGACAGCTTCTTCTTGCTTTTGTAAATGTTCAGTGTCTACTTGAGAATAAAATGAATTCTTTTTCAATAAATTTTATTGAAGTTATACAAGTTTGAGAGCAACATGAATTATTTTCTTGTTGATTGAAGATTCTCTATTTGTCAATTTGACAAAATTTGTCAATTATTTTGCTCAGATTTTTATATCCTTTCTAACTTTTTGGCTATTTCTATCATATTTAGTCAGAGAAAAAACTTCTCATGATGGTGGATTTGACCATTTCTTCTTATTGCTGTCAGCTTCTGAAGCTGTTTTATTTGAAGTTTGGAGTTTATTCTGGGTTCATCATTAGCAGAGGAATTTTAGTAGGAGTGGGTGCAGGGAGTGTATTAGGTAGCTTTTAAAAAATCCTCAGTTCGGCCGGCGCCGCGGCTCACTAGGCTAATCCTCCGCCTTGTGGCGCCGGTACACCGGGTTCTAGTCTCGGTCGGGGCGCCGGATTCTGTCCCGGTTGCCCCTCTTCCAGGCCAGCTCTCTGCTGTGGCCAGGGAGTGCAGTGGAGGATGGCCCAGGTGCTTGGGCCCTGCACCCCATGGGAGACCAGGATAAGTACCTGGCTCCTGCCATCGGATCAGTGCGTTGCGCCGGCCGCAGCACGCCAGCTGCGGCGGCCATTGGAGGGTGAACCAATGGCAAAGGAAGACCTTTCTCTCTGTCTCTCTCTCTCACTGTCTACTCTGCCTGTCAAAAAAAAAAATCCTCAGTTCAATGGCGCTGGCTTCTGATAGCAATGACTATTTTATTTTATAAATGACAAAGTTTCCTTTGTTCCTCTTACATTTACTATGCCATTTATCACTCCCCCTGTGCTGTTCCTGTCAGCCCTCCTATAGGGATCCCACTCACTGTCAGGCATTTCTTCTGGACTGAACAGTTTTGGGGTGTTTTAAGAGGTTTCCTGCTGTTAAACCTCTCACTACGTCAAAAATTTCCTCGGCTACACCCATGGCCCATCTGCCACTCTACAGTCTTGTGACTTATGATACAAATAATGCTGTTTTTTGCCATCTACTTACACAATATTGAAGTTTTATTTAGGTTTTCAAGAGAGATGTGTTAATCTCTGTGGCTCTGAGGCATCTCAGAAGAGGTGAGGGAATCCCCTCAAGACTACATCTACATTATTGTTAAGCTCTAGAATCACACACTGGGCGCAACTCTTGTTTGTGTTTGTATGGGTTAAATTTCTGGTTCCTAATTACAGTGCCATACATGAGGTCAGCTCCTTCAGTTACTACTCTTGTTAAGTACCTTTTATCTAAATGTAGTTTATTAATAACATCCTGGCATTATTAATCTAATGCTATCTTATGGATTCAGAATTTATCAGGGATATATAGTATCTCTTTGTTTTGTTGTGAGTAAATTTTGCTTCACTATTAGGCATTTTCACATTGTAGTTTACTCTTGTGTGTCTCCAAAGGTTAAACTTGTCTCCCTTAACTCCCACAGTACCAAATGAAAAAATAACTGATTGTTACTGTTATCTTTGCTCCTCAAAGTGATGGAGAATGTCACGATGGTGAATGAATTTCTTTTACTTGGCCTGACCAGTGTTCAGGAGCTGCAACCTGCCTTCTTCGTGACTTTCTTAGTTATTTACCTAATAAACCTGATTGGAAATGGAGCTATATTAGCGATTGTTATTTTGGAACCAAAACTACACTGCCCTATGTATTTTTTTCTGGGAAATCTTTCTTGCCTGGATATTTGCTATTCTTCCGTGACACTTCCCAAGGTACTCATAAACCTCCTCTCTACTCACAGGGGCATATCTTTCCTAGGCTGTATCACGCAGCTACACTTTTTCCACTTTCTAGGAAGCACAGAGGCCCTTTTGCTGGCGGTGATGGCCTTTGACCGATTTGTGGCCATTTGCAACCCACTTCGCTACACTGTCACCATGAACCCTCAGCTGTGTATTATGCTGACAGCCATGGCCTGGATTGCCAGCTTCTTTTATGCTCTGATGCATTCCATCATGACTGCACGCCTGAGATTTTGCCACTCTCAGAAAATCAATCACTTCTTCTGTGATGTCAAGCCTCTCCTGGAACTGGCCTGTAGTAACACGTTACTCAACCAATGGCTGCTCTCTGTGGTCACAGGCAGCATCTCTATGGGTGCTTTCTGCCTTACCCTCCTCTCCTATTTCTATATTCTTGGCTTCATTCTATTCAAGAACCGGTCCTGCAGAATACTTCATAAGGCACTGTCTACTTGTGCCTCCCATTTTATCGTTGTATGTCTTTTCTATGGACCTGTGGGCCTCACATACATTCGTCCTGCCTCAGCCACCTCCATGAATCAGGATCGGATAGTGGCCATCATCTACAGTGCAGTCACCCCAGTGCTGAATCCACTGATATACACCCTTAGGAATAAAGAAGTGATGCTGGCTCTGAAGAAAACCTTTGGGAGCAAGTTGTTTAAAGACTGCCAGCAATACCATTAAGACTAAGAAGACTCATACATGATTCCCATTAAGACTCACATCACTTCACAGCCATAAGTGATTAGTTTACCTAATTTCAAATTTCCTTCAGAAATTTTGAGTGAATCTTATATCAGGCAATAAAGTAGGTTCAAGAAACATGGAAATGAGGAAAAGAAATTCCACAATAGTATAAACTTAAAGTTTGGTGCAATAGGGGCACCCAATACACAAATTTACAGGGGCAATTAAATGCTATGGAGGAATTAAAGAAGGTAGGAAGAACAGAGGGGGAGAGAGTAGGTACTTGGTTTACAATTGTTCGCCTGATCTTTGCCTTGGGTTCCTGTAATGGAGCTGATAAGAACCTAAGAATCTCCCCAGTCATATAAGAGACATGTCTGTGTTATACATGCTTCTGGACTATACCTGAATTTATGTTCTTGAGATGACCCCTGGAACAGCTTCAGGATGGACATTGGTTATGCCAGAGAGATCAACCATGGGTTTGGGGATAAGCGTTCTGAGTCTTGTTGATATTAGCCCTACCTTCAGGAGGTGAGGGAGGATAGAGACAGAGTTCAGTTACATGGCCAATACTCAATTGTGTCTATGTGATGAACCTTAATTGCCATCTATTACTAAAGCTCAGGATTCCCCATCAACTTGTACAAATATTGTGTGTTAATTAATAAGAAACTCAAGTGAGATTCCTTTGTTGGCAATACATTCCATATTTTTGCATATCAGGGTGCTGGGAAGGCAATACACCCTAAAGACAAAGAAGCTTTGCATTAGGGACCCTGGCAAAGCTTGCCCCATGTGTTGCTCCCTTCAGTTGGCTCTAGTTGGTATCATTTACTTTGATAAAACTGTATTATGTAGGGAAGTTTCCTGAGTTCTGTGAGTCATTTTATCAAATCTGAGGGTATGGTGGGAGCCTCCAAAGTTGTAGCCAGGTGGTCAGGAGTTAGTGTGATCAATTCTAGCTTATAAAGATACATATAATATCTGGAGCAGGGGCACACTTGTGGAGAAGTATGCCCTTAACCTGTAAAGATTGTTCCAGTTCCAGGTAGTGGATGATAAAAGTCATTATACTCCGCATTTAGTCTTTCATATATACCCCCCTCCACATGCTAAAATTATATAAATTGTTCTACAATTCATGACCTTAAGTGATTCTGATAACATGAAGATACTTCAAAAAGTTTTTGGAAAATAAAATTAAAGTATGAATTTATTTTGAGGCAAAATATTTTGAAATTAAATAACAAAGATTCTTTAGAAAGTTCATAGAAAATTCACATTATGAAAAAAACTATACACGAATTTCACAATTTCCTGAGCTAATGGGGAGAAATATTGTATTTTTTAGATAAGTAATTGTTAGAGCATCTGTGAGAGCCAAAATTGATTAAATTACTGTAAAAGGCAGCAGGCTTGGAATGACAGACAAAGGATCATGACCTACATGTGTCTACAATGCTGGCAAATGGATCATGGGGAAAGTTCTATGTAAATCAATAATAATATTGATGGCTTGATATGTGTTGGAAGTGATGAGCAGAAGGCTGACATCAGCTACCTCAACAGATCATTCTTCAATTCAGTTTCAGTTTCCACCTCTGAGCCAGTTCCCAAAGCACATCAATTCAGGAAGTGCAGAATTCTCAAGGAAGCACTTGTAATTTTACTGGAAGTGTATATAGTAAAATTTTTCCTAGTTTTTAACCAAAGGAGACATATGGCCTTTTATCCAAACAACTATATATTTTGGAAAGGGAAATGTCTGGATGTTTTGAGAGCTACTATGGCAAGAGATAACTGAAAATGTTATCAGGGACTTGTTAGATGCAGGGCAGGTGCTGCCATTTGACTACCACTGGATAAAAAGATCATTGTCTAAATTCATTTCACTCTGGTTCACTATTTTCACAGGACTCCTCATAAGTCATGATCACAGTCTCTGACTGCAAAACTGAATTGCCTATATTTGGCAGCTTTGGATAGTAATTTGGTGTGTGAATTAATTTCAATATTCATTAATAAGAAAGATCCAAAATACTTTATATTCATTTGAAGTGAATATTCACAGCATTGCCTCAAGGCTATAATAATGCAGCTCTCTGTCAGAAATTTATTTAAAGGCATCATATGAAAATTATGCAGAAAAATTTCTGGTCCACTATATTAATTATATCATGGTAATTACACCTCTTGAGCCGAAGGGGTGGATGCTCTGAAAAGAACCCTGTGCTCCAGGGGCTGGTGCTGTGGTACAGGGGATAAAGCTGCTGCCTGTGACACTGGCATACTCTACAGGAGCTGATTGTGTGCCAGCTGCTCCTATTTGGATCTAGTTTCCTGCTTATGGTCTGGGAAAAGCAATGTAAGCTGGCTCAAGTGTTTGTGCCCCTGCCATCCAAGTGGTAGACCTGGATGAAGCTCTTGGGCTATGGCTTTGGCCCAGCCCAGTGCTGACCATTGCAGCCATCTGGGGCATGAACCAGTGGGTGGAAGATCTCTCTATCTTTCCCTCTCTCTATAACTCTGACTTTCAAAATAAGTACGTAAATCTTAAAATACGTGTACTCCAGAGACAGGGAGATAATCTCCCAAAGATTCATAGACTTTCTAGCTGATAAATTTTTAAGATGTTCTGTGGTTTGGAGAATGTTGTACATTTCCTTCAGCGAAAAATGCAAATTATTGATTATTGCATTTCTGTAACTAAAATTCACTATTCTTGGTAGGACTATTTGGGTTTTGGAGGCAGCGTTGGTTATATTTGGGATGATTCTGAGGCATATTAATTGGATCCTTATAAGACAAACAATGTTAAGTAGATTCCAGAATGAGAGAATTTCAGGAGGTCCAGTTTCTGGGAACAGAAGGGAATAGTTAAAGGCAATGATTTTTTTTGGATAAGGCCTTAAAAGCACAGTCAGCAAAGGCAAAACCAGACAGATAGGATTACCACAAACTCAAAAGCTCCTAGATAGGAATGATGACAATCGATAGGTTGAAGAGACATCCAAACAGTATGAGAGAAAATATTTGCAACCTACTTTTTTTTTATAAAATGCATCTTTTGTATTGTTGTGGCTTCCCCCCCGACCTCCCTCCACCCGTGGTCCTCCCCTCACCCACTCCTTCTTCCATCCCACCCTCCATCACGTTTCATTTTCAATTACCTTCATATACTGAAGATCAACTTAGTATATACTAAGCAGGGATTTCAACAGGTGCAACCTACTTCTTTAACAAAAGATTAATATTCAGAATATATCAGGAACTGAAAAAAAACAAACCCTTAGACACAGCAACAAAACAAGTAATTCATTAATAAATGGGCAAAGGACTTGAATAGGTAGTTTTCAAAAGAACAAATACCAATGTCCAACAAATAAATTAAAAACTGTTCAATATCACTAGCCAACTAGCCATCAGGGAAATGCAAATTGAAACCACTGTGAGATAGCTCAATCTCTGTTTGAATGACTATGATAAAAAAGACAAACATTAACAAATGCTGATGAAGCTATGGAGGAAGAACTCATATACTCTGTTGCTGGGCATGTAACTTAGTACAGCCAGTGTGGAAAACAACATGGGAATTCCTTAAAACACAAGAAATAGAGCTTTCATATGGTCCAGAAAACCCAGTACTGAGTATTTATACAAAAGATAGGCCGGCGCCGCGGCTCACTAGGCTAATCCTCCGCCTTGCGGTGCTGGCACACCGGGTTCTAGTCCCGGTTGGGGTGCCGGATTCTGTCCCGGTTGCCCCTCTTCCAGGCCAGCCCTCTGCTGTGGCCAGGGAGTGCAGTGGAGGATGGCCCAGGTGCTTGGGCCCTGCACCCCATGGGAGACCAGGAAAAGCACCTGGCTCCTGGCTCCTGCCATTGGATCAGCGCGGTGCGCCGGCTGCAGCGCGCACGGCCGCGGCGGCCATTGGAGGGTGAACCAACAGCAAAGGAAGACCTTTCTCTCTGTCTCTCTCTCTCACTGTCCACTCTGCCTGTCAAAAAAAAAAAGATATAAAATGATAAGAGCCTAGGGTGATTACTGATGCCATAAACAGGAGTGTCAATTTGTTAAGTCAACAACAGGAGTCACTGTGCACTTACTCCTCATGTAGGATCTCTGTCCTTAATGTGCTGTAATTGTGATTTAATGCTATAACTAGTACTCAAACAGTATTTTTCACTTTGTGTTTCTATGTGGGTGCAAACTGTTGAAATCTTTACTTAATATATGCTAAACTGATCTTCTGTATATAAAGAGAATTGAAAATGAATCTTGATGTGAATGGAAGGGGAGAGGGAGTGGAAAAAGGGAGGGTTGCGGGTGGGAGGGACGTTATGGGGGGGAGCCATTGTAATCCATAAGCTGTACTTTGGAAATTTATATTCATTAAATAAAAGTTAAAAAAAGATATAAAATGATTGTATCAAATAGTACCTAATCCACCATGCTTGCTGCAGCACTGTTCACAATAGTCAAGATATGGAATCAACCAAAGTGTCCACTATTAGATGAATGAATAAAATGTGGTATATATATGAGATGGAAAATTTTTCTGGCCACAAAACAATGAGTCCCCTGTCATTTTCAGCAGAATGGCTGGAACTGGAAGATATCACGTTAACTGAAATAGGCCAGACACAGAAAGACAAATACTGCATGTTCTCTCATATATGGAAGAAAAAATATGAACTACTCAGTTTGATCACAGAATGTTGATAAATAGAGGCTAGGAGAGGTATGGGGTATGACAGAATTTGGAAAATGGGCACTAAATCAGAATGGAAGAACAAGGTGCTAGTGTTACCCCATACAGTGAGAACATTATAGTTTACAACGACCTCATTTATTTCATGATAAAATAGAAGAAGCTCCAAGCTTGTAATCATGAATATTGTTAAAGAAAGGGAAATGTTGGTTACCTTGATTTGATGAGTACACACTACATGTATGTATTGATATTTCATAATGTAGCCAATAAATATGTACAATTATTTAAAAAAAACATTTAAAAGTAAATAAACAAGAGTAACCAATGAGAGGAAATGAGCTCATTTATTTCTAGTAGGGCTACAAGTTGCAATGATATTTGAGAAAAGTGGGCTACGTAGGTACCCTTAATTCAGGATTCCTATATTTGTAAATCCACTATATAAAAACTATAGGATATAAAAATTTATTCTTGCATTATTTGTAGAAACAAAAACCTGGAAATAGTCTGAATGTA